TAGCTATCGAGTTGTCTCTCCTAGAAGAGTTGCTGTCCCTAGCTATCGAGTTGTCTCTCCTAGAAGAGTTGCTGTCCCTAGTTATCGAGTTGTCTCTCCTAGAAGAGTTGCTGTCCCCAGCTATCTAGTTGTCTCTCCTAGAAGAGTTGCTGTCCCCAGCTATCTAGTTGACTCTCCTAGATGGGTTGCTGTCCCCAACTATCGAGTTGTCTCTCCTAGAAGAGTTGCTGTCCCCAGCTATCGAGTTGACTCTCCTAGAAGAGTTGCTGTCCCTAGCTATCGAGTTGACTCTCCTAGATGGGTTGCTGCCCCTAGCTATCGAGTTGTCTCCCCTAGATAGTTTGCTGTCCCCAGCTATCGAGTTGACTCTCCTAGATGGGTTGCTGCCCCTAGCTATCGAGTTGTCTCTCCTAGAGAAATTGCTTTCTTTAGTAACAACTTTGGTTACTAAACAAAACAAGATTGTCTTATTTTTACTATCATTTTCATCGAGCCGACCCGCGGCAATTCATACGCCGCTATTTAGTTGTTGTTTTTTCTACTTTTCAGTTATTCATAATTTGTGAATTCGACACTACCAACGCTGCCACTGAAAATATTTCTTTAAAACACTATAGGTAGCTCGTTAAGGACGATACCCCCCCTCCTTCCCCCCCCTCCGTTAAAGTAAACTCCACTTAGTTACCCCCCCCCCCCCTCCCTACGCTTAAAATCGTTTCAAACTAAATTATCTGCCCCTAATAGTCGTCACTAAACCCGGCTCTGTTTGTAAACATTTAGAGTAAACCACAGCTCACCAGACCATTAGGGGTGGGGGTGGTAGGGAGCGCGTTTACAGCTTGTTTTCTAGCGTCTCCCAGAAGAGAATTATATATATATATATATAGATTGCTTTAAAATCTTATTAACATGGTTTTTTATGTTTGTTTTCTTCCACTTTTTAGAAATTAAATTTTATAAAATAAAAAAAAAAAGCCAATATTGGTTTGTTTTTTTAGAATATTTAGTATTTTTTTGCATCCATTTCATTCTAAATATAATAAATTCCTTATTATATTTCCTTTAAAATGCGTTGTGGTGTAATATTAATTAAGAAAGACGAGAGCTATTCAATACAAATTTTAAAAAAATCATTGGACACCAGCCAATGGCAACCCACTGTGTTATGTAGCTCTGACATTTGATTAGCTTGCTGTGTCGTTGTATTGAGTTATTCGGCTTGCCTAATACTCTTTGTGAAAAAAAAATTTAAAAAGTAAAAAAAAATAATTTAAAAAATGATACAGAAGAGTTTTATGAAACAATGACAAAAGGTAGAGAGGGGGGGGGGGGGGGGAATCGGGGAGTTTAGACCAGAGTTTGCCAGGGGGGGGGGGGGTTCTTGAGTTGGGGGTAGGGGTATTGGAAGTGGTGGAATACTGGAGGTAGTGGGGAAGGTTGGATGGAGGGGTCATTGTCGCATCGATGAACCATCGATCTAAAGTCAAGGTCGAGCCGGCACCACTAATCTAACAGGCTTGTGATCCATGCTGGATCAATCGTCACCACGGTGATACCCGGAACATCGACTGGAACCTTCTAGAACACAGACCTGGTTTAATTGGACCACAAGCTCAGACACGCATAATTAATTGCTGAAATAAATTGCTATCCCCGCATGAGTTGCTGAGTCTTATAAAGGTATCAATCGATTCGGTCTCAGCGAGAATATTCAGTGGTTTTTGTTTTGTTGAATTAAGAATCAATCTCGTGAATTTTTTATAAGCCTTTTCCCATTAGAAGGACGAGTATTTCTCATAACAATTCACTATGACCAACATTTATCGCAGCGGTCTCTATTGACAAACATTCCCCTACAAAAGTACATGTTTACGAACATTTGTCGCCACAATTTGTATTGACGAACATTTCCCACAAAATCTCATATTGGCGAGCGTTTGTCGCAACAGTGTACATTGCTGAGGATTTCTCAACAGTTCAGAATGACGAATGTCTCTATCATTCATGTAGCAATCCTTTCCAGCGGATGGGCGGACGCTCAACTTTGGCCCTTTCATTCCATTTCTATTTATAGTTACACCTGTATTTGAAAAAGCGCCCCCTCCAGTTGGAAAGGTTTGTGGCGCTTCTTACCGTTTACTATCCCGTAACATTTTCTAGTTTGGCGCCACAAAAACAGTTAAATCCCTGTGTAAGCCTTCTAGTGTATTATTTCGTAACTTGGATTATGTATAATTTAATACTTCAGCTTAATATGAGCTTTTTAATTATTTTTTATTCCCTTTGATGACCCCATGGGGTCGTTACTATCCTGTCTCGTTGGGCGTCGGCATCTAGCCCTGGGCTGTGTGTGTGTGTATGTGTGTGTGTGAGTGTGTGGGGGTAGGGGGTGCCGGATCAATCACCCCCACAGCCCATATCTAATTACATAGAATAATTTATGCAACGATGCGCCATGTGTTTGCGTTTCTGTCCTTTGTGCTTATTTAGTTCAACTCTAGAGTAAAAATAGACATTCATCACTACGAGTAAATATTCATTACAAATGGAAGCTCAGAGTTGACGAGAATCTTTCCATCTTGTTGTTGACATGGATAAAATTCGTAAAAATAAAAACTTAAGTTTAAAAATAATTCAGAAATTTAATATTTTTAGAATTAATATTGTAAAAGTTGCAAACCAGAGAACGTGAAAATAATTTGTTGAGTTTAAGGCTACATTTCTATTTATTTTCATCAAGCCTAAGTTATAACCCTTTGTTTCACTTTCGTAAGCGGTCCATAAATGATGTCATACTCGGAGGGGGGTCCATAATTTTGTGATGGTGTGTGATGAGGGGGAGGGGTTGGGGGTTCAGATGTTGCGACGTCACACTTTTGCATTATAAAAAAGCAATGTTAGAAAACAAATTTTAGCCGTTAGTTTGCGTTTTAGAAAACTGTTTTAATAAATTGCAATAGGAATTGATTAAAATACTCTATTTTGGCAGAGTTCAGACAAGATTTTGGAAAAATATCGATTTTTTAAGAAAAATTCAACTGCAATTTTGAGGGGGGTTGTAGGCTGAGCTGTGGCGTCATTTTAGGGGGGGGGGGTGGCTTTTTGTGACGATGTGTGACGGAGGGGAGGGGGGGGGGGAAGGTAAAAATCGTCAAAAAAGAAAGCGTGACGTCATTTTTGGATGACCCCTAAGACAAACTTTGATTGGCTTATACAGAAACTCCGTGATCGATTTCTGACAGCCCCGCATACAATACGTATTTGTTTACAAATCTTTGCAGTTAGTTTTTAAATAAGATGATGCTATTTTAAACCACATGACCTAGTTCTGCCATATTTTTTTGTACAAGTTGCAGGATGAAACGTATGCTAGCCTATCAAATAGCAGGATGTCTTCGTTCATGTCGCTATTACCGCGTGAACAAGAAATTGCTTTTGCCTTTTGTTTTTAAAGTTGTGCTTCATTACCGAAAATGCTAAAACGTAAAAATACATCCACTCTTTTTATTAAGTCAAAAAAAAAAAAAACCCGATCAATCAGGATTTATAACCATATTAATTTTAATTACACCATGCATGATATTAAAATAATTTCATAAAAGAAACATTTTAATAACAAGCTTTTATTAGTCATGTAACTCTATTGTAAATAAAAACATGTAAAGTACTAAAACAGATTTCATAAAAAAAAACGTTTTAATAACAAATTTGTATGTAATAATGCACTTAAAAGTAGAAAATAAATTATACACTACTATTTAAATTACAATAAAGAAAAGCGTGGGTCTCTTCCTAAATATTAGACACTACTATTTAAATTACCACAAAGAAAAGCGTGGGTCACTTTAGTATCTATGGGATACCATTACTAATTTAGGAAGAGACCCACGCTTTTCTTTATAGTAATTGATGACGCGTGTGGATAGAACTGCCGACTTAATTGGTCAAAATTTTAATTAATCCATAAAAAATGAATCAGGCGACCAATTAAGTCAAAATTAATGTCACGATGCATTGTCTTCATGTCTTGACCCACATACCAATTACGAACTGTATCTGTGAGGTAGAAGTGCCTGCAATTTCGCTCGTCCGTTTCGATCTAGACAGACTGACGACAGAGGAAGTTAGTTAAATAAAAGCTTGTAAAAATAGTTTATAGGCCTCTCAAAAAACTTCGAGATTACTCTCGGTTGGGTCCGTTTTAATCGGAATCCTGGTGTCGATGCATTTACAGTAATGGGTTTGGTTACATAAGGATTACAGTGTGTGAATCCTGGTGGGTGTTTTTTCATTGGAAACTATAGTATGTGAATCTTGGCGGGAATACTTTTGTGGGGAATTATATGAGAATCTTGGAGGGTATACTTTTGTGGGGAATTATATGAGAATCTTGGAGGGTATACTTTTGTGGGGAATTATATGAGAATCTTGGAGGGTATACGTTTGTGGGGAATTATATGAGAATCTTGGAGGGTATACTTTTGTGGGGAATTATATGAGAATTTTGGAGGGTGTACTTTGATAGGAACACGCAGCGTGTGAATCTAAGGTAATATGAATGTACTAAATCAAAGTGAATCTAAGGTCATATGAATGCAGTGTTTCTTCCAGACTTTTTTCTCCGGGGGTGCACTTGAAATTTTCGTGGGGCGGGGGGGGGGGGGGCACTGTCAAAAGATGCATGGAAAAAAAGCCTCTGTATGTATACTTTCTGTTAGCTGTAAAATGTATACCCTCTGTTAGTTCTAAAATGTATACCTCCTATCAGACGTATCAGATGTAAAATGTATACCTTCTGTCTGCTGTGAAATGTATACCTTCATTTAGTTGTGAAATGTATACCTTAAGTTAGTTGTGAAATGTATACATTGAGTTAGTTGTGAAATGTTTACATTGAGTTAGTTGTGAAATGTATACATTGCGTTAGTTGTGAAATGTATACCTTGAGTTAGTTGTGAAATGTATACCTTTAGTGTGACCAACGTCTGTTGTTGTTTCAGATGAGGCTTGTACACAAGACGTTGCTGGTTCTCTCTTGTGTGGGACTTGGTGCTCTTCTCTTCAGTTACACCAGTACATCATTAGGTGAGTAATTACTCTAATTACATCCTTAGGTGAGTCGTGTAATTACATCATTAGGTGAGTCGTGTAATTACCTCATTAGGTGAGTCGTGTAATTACTCTGATTACCTCATTAGATGAGTCGTGTAATTACCTCATTAGGTGAGTCGTAATTATATCATTAGATGAGTCGTGTAATTACCTCATTAGGTGAGTCGTGTAATTAGTCTAATTACATCATTAGGTGAGTCGTGTAATTACCTCATTATTTGAGTCGTGTAATTACCTCATTAGGTGAGTCGTGTAATTACATCATTAGGTGAGTCGTCTAATTACATCATTAGATGAGTCGTGTAATTAATCTAATTACATCATTAGGTGAGTCGTGTAATTAGTCTAATTACATCATTAGGTGAGTCGTGTAATTACATCATTAAGTGAGTCGTGTAATTACCTCATTAGGTGAGTCGTGTAATTACATCATTAGGTGAGTCGTGTAATTACATCATTAGGTGAGTCGTGTAATTAGTCTAATTACATCATTAGGTGAGTCGTGTAATTACATCATTAGGTGAGTCGTGTAATTACCTCATTAGGTGAGTCGTGTAATTACCTCATTAGGTGAGTCGTGTAATTACCTCATTAGGTGAGTCGTGTAATTACCTCATTAGGTGAGTGGTCTAATTACATCAGTAGGTGAGTCGTCTAATTACCTCATTAGGTGAGTCGTGTAATTACCTCATTAGGTGAGTCGTGTAATTACCTCATTAGGTGAGTCGTGTAATTACCTCATTAGGTGAGTCGTGTAATTACATAATTAGGTGAGTCGTGTAATTACCTCATTAGGTGAGTCGTCTAATTACATCATTAGTTAAGTCGTCTAATTACATCAGTACATCTTTAGGTGAGTTGTGTAATTACATCATTAGGTGAGTCGTGTAATTACATCTAGTACATCATTCGGTGAGTCATCTAATTACTCGAGAACATCTTTAGTTCAATGAACTAATTACTCGAGTACATCTTTAGGTCAGTCGATCATTACTGTAACGGCTAATTTATTTATTGTTTAATTGAGTTGTTCACTATTCTAAGAACCAATCACTCCAGCATGTTTTAGCAACAGCTTGCTGTGGCACACCATGTTTTATGTCGCCCATTATTTTAGCAACAAATAACACTAGCGCCTCTTTCAGTGAGTTTCTATATCGTTACATTTGTCATACAACGTGGTGCACTTTATCTTTACAACTGCATTAGATTCTAGCACTTTAGTTAAGGAGTTCAATTCGCGGTCCAGCTGCTATGCACATTAAAACATTCTGTTTAGTGCAACAGCTTAAGCTCAGCTTGCTTTTTCGAGAATCGATGTAGAAAAGTTTCGTTAATACCCTCACAGTTGTGTTTTTTAGATACATTCTTTTGATAAACCTCTAAGTGTGCATACATTGACACGTTTTCTCAATAAAAATGTCCTTGATATTCAAACCGACAGCTGTGTTTTTCGGATACTAAAGTTTAGGTTTGAAGTTTGACAAAAGCCTGCTTTATGTAAAAGCTGCGACTCAACGCAGAAAAACATGTGAAGAATAGTTAGAGGGGAGTATAGGGTGAATAATGTATTGGGTAGAGACGGTGGGTGATGGGGTGGGTGATGGGTGATGGGATGGGTGATTGAGTGGGTTATGGGGTGGGTGATGGGGTGAGTGATGGGGTGGGTTATGGGGTGGGTTATGGGGTGGGTTATGGGGTGGGTTATGGGGTGGGTTATGGGGTGGGTGATGGGGTGGGTTATGGGGTATGCCATGGGGTGGGTTATGGGGTGGGTTATGGGGTGGGTGATGGGGTGGGTGATGGGGTGGGTTATGGGGTGGGTTATGGGGTGGGTGATGGGGTGGGTGATGGGGTGGGTTATGGGGTGGGTCATGGGGTGGGTCATGGGGTTGGTGATGGGGTGGGTGATGGGGTGGGTTATGGGGTGGGTGATGGGGTGGGTGATGGGGTGGGTTATGGGGTGGGTCATGGGGTGGGTCATGGGGTGGGTGATGGGGTGGGTGATGGGGTGGGTTATGGGGTGGGTTATGGGGTGGGTGATGGGGTGGGTTATGGGGTGGGTGTCGGGTTGGGGAGATAGACCCACATGGTGAACAGTTTACCTCACTATGCTGTATCAATAAGATTTCAACCGTTCGATTCCCAGTAAAAAGTTGCATTAAAATTTGTCATCGCCGGATCGGGAGATCCCTACAGCAGTTGTACCCAACCAACACAATAAACACTCAAGGTTCTACTGTAGTCCTTAGTGCAGTATCCAATCAATCGCATGGCTGTGTCATGGGGTGAAAGGGGTTGTTGACGGGGTGGGTGAACAGCCTACCTCGCCCAACCAACACAATAAACACTCAAGGTTCTACTGTAGTCCTTAGTGCAGTATCCAATCAATCGCATGGCTGTGTCATGGGGTGAAAGGGGTTGTTGACGGGGTGGGTGAACAGCCTACCTCGCCCAACCAACACAATAAACACTCAAGGTTCTACTGTAGTCCTTAGTGCAGTATCCAATCAATCGCATGGGTGTGTCATGGGGTGAAAGGGGTTGTTGACGGGGTGGGTGAACAGCCTACCTCGCCCAACCAACACAATAAACACTCAAGGTTCTACTGTAGTCCTTAGTGCAGTATCCAATCAATCGCATGGCTGTGTCATGGGGTGAAAGGGGTTGTTGACGGGGTGGGTGAACAGCCTACCTCGCCCAACCAACACAATAAACACTCAAGGTTCTACTGTAGTCCTTAGTGCAGTATCCAATCAATCGCATGGGTGTGTCATGGGGTGAAGGGATTGTTGAAGGGGTGGGTGAACAGCCTACCTCACTCAACCAATACAATAAACACTCAAGTTTCTAATGTTTAGTGCATTATCCGATCAATCTCATGGCGGTCACAGTTCTCTCCCTTTTACACATTTAACTGCCCCCCCCCCTTCCACCTCGTACGTCCATTCGGTCACTGTTCTGTATGAATTAGTTCATAGAATACATCACCAAACACACAAAAGACGATAAGCCGTTTCACCTTACACTATTCACAGTAAAACTATTTACATCGCTACAAGGCGTATTTACTTTTCTTTTAAAACATTTATAATTATTTCTATTTTGAACATGTTTTTGTGTTCTTTCCTACTTACTTCAATTTATTTTTCTTTCCTACTTTTTTCACTTTTTTTTTCCTTTCCTACTTTCTTCAATTTGTTTTCTTTCCTACTTTCTTCAATTTGTTTTCTTTTCTACTTCCTTCAATTTTTTTACTTTCCTACTTTCTTCAATTTGTTTTCTTTCCTACTTTTTTCACTTTTTTTCCTTTCCTACTTTCTTCAATTTGTTTTCTTTTCTACTTTCTTCAATTTGTTTACTTTCCTACTTTCTTCAGTTTGTTTTCTTTCCTACTTTCTTCAATTTGTTTACTTTCCTACTTTCTTCAATTTGTTTTCTTTCCTACTTTCTTCAATTTGTTTCCTTTCCTACTTTCTTCAATTTGTTTTCTTTCCTACTTTCTTCAATTTGTTTACTTTCCTACTTTCTTCAATTTGTTTACTATCCTACTTTCTTCACTTTGTTTACTTTCCTAATTTCTTCATTTTGTTTTTTTTTTCTACTTTTTTCAATTTGTTTACTTTCCTACTTTCTTCAATTTGTTTACTTTCCTACTTTCCTCACTTTGTTTACTTTCCTAATTTCTTCAATTTGTTTTTTTCCTACTTTCTTCAATTTGTTTACTTTCCTACTTTCTTTAATTTGTTTACTTTCCTACTTTCTTCAATTTGTTTCCTTTCCTACTTTCTTCAATTTGTTTCCTTTCCTACTTTCTTCAATTTGTTTACTTTCCTACTTTCTTCAATTTTTTTACTTTCCTACTTTCTTCAATTTGTTTACTTTCCTACTTTCTTCAATTTGTTTTCTTTCCTACTTTCTTCAATTTGTTTTTTGATTCCTACTTTCTTCAATTTGTTTTCTTTCCTACTTTCTTCAATTTGTTTCCTTTCCTACTTTTTTCACTTTTTTTTTCTTTCCTACTTTCTTCAATTTGTTTTTTGATTCCTACTTTCTTCAATTTGTTTTCTTTCCTACTTTTTTCACTTTTTTTTTCTTTCCTACTTTCTTCAATTTGTTTACTTTCCCTCTGATAACTTAGTTGAATGTATCTGGTAGTCTCACACCAAGTCCACTACAGTTTGCGTTTATTTAGTTTTAAAAAAAAAAACCACGCGATCATGCAGGTGCGTGCCTATCAGGTCGCCTCCAGCGTTACTACGTGAGCGTGTCAAACTTTTATTAGATCGTCTCCTGCGATACTTCGTGTGCGTGCCAAACCTCCATTTAGATCGCCTAGGTGTGCGTGCCACACCTCCAGTAGATCGCCTACGTGTGCGTGCCGAACCTTCATAACGTTATCTTCAAAGCCTCAGTCAATCAGCAGGTATTGCCTGGGGAAACTACGTTCTCACATGCAATCGGAAGTATGAAGAGATGAGTACAATAGAGCAATGAAGACCATTCAATGTCTGGGAAAGAAAAAAAAAGGGGGCAGCTTATCTCCATAATACATGGTCACCATGAATGTTCAGGAGAGTTTTATTGTATTGCTGCATCTATAGAATTTTCATGAGATTTGACACATTCAGTTACCAAAGGATCGAACGGCTTAGCTACAATCGATTTCAGCAAAGGATCTTTCTGTCGGTGAACAGCCATCAATTTGGTCCGCTTGCAAAAGTAATTCCGTTTCAGTCTGGAGAAAAAAGCCAGAGGGCTATAAGAACTTTCGATTTTTGGACTAACCCAAATTTCTATTACACTTAACAAAATCGAACCGAGTTCAATAATCCGATAAATCTATAATCTAAAAGTGTAAAAAAAAAAAAAACTTCTAGAAACAGGTACCAGCGCAATACTCCATCAAACTGTGATTAACTTCTGACGTTTATTTGACTTGCATTAATGACTTCCACGGGGAGGGGGGGGGGGTAAGAAAATGTTACGTTAGACCACACGTTACATTTTATTGTCATGCCCCAATAAACAAGCAATTTAATATTTTCCTACTCCAAAAAAAAAATTCAATTCACTTATATTCCCATCCTACAATGAAACGATACAATAGCTACATATTACAATGAAACAATACATTTTCAATCGGCACGCAAAAGGCTTACATTGCATCGACGGTTTCCGTGTTTATAAAAACTTTTCAGCTTGTAGTTACATCATACTCTCTACATGTAGATCGGTGTGAAGTTTCGGAAAGCGAGAGATCACTTCCTTACCGAATGCCCGTGTCCCCCCCCCCCCCCCCCCCACACACATTGTCACATTCTTGTTCTTATTCCACACCAACAATATCGTCCAGCCAGATCCACCTTCTTATTTCGATACTTTGGAATCGATCTTCCCTCATCGGATGTGAATATGTTGAATGCATAGAAATTTCTGTCACATCTTTGTATCTTTTTGTTTAACTTTGTTTAATATACTATGGTATCTGTAATACACTGTAAAGGATTTTTGGAATGTTCCAAGTTGATTAAAGATTGACCTAATATGAAAACAAAAATCAAGGGACTTGAATACGCTGTTTTACAACATACGCTGCGTACATTTACATAAAGTACTTCGTTCCAAAAAACATTTTAGTTCTCACATCGTTTTCAATGGTGAAGGGGCGGAGGGGTGAGATAGTCAAAGGAAACGAACGTTCATCGTATATTTATATTTAAATATTATTCTTGATTCAGCCTTTTTAAAATACAAGAATCAGTCAGAAACATTTAAAAATAGCAAAGTATGCCAACCGCACACAACAGGCCTACATGTCATTGAATTAGTAATATGAATTTATTGTATCATACGTAGTTCAACTTTCTTTCTCCGGCTCAACTTTTCAAAAGTAATTTCAACCATTTGAATTTCCTTCCAACTTAACAAGAACCTTAACTCTTTCGCCCAACTTAACAAGAACCTTAACTCTTTCGCCCAACTTAACAAGAACCTTAACTCTTTCGCCCAACTTAACAAGAACCTTAACTCTTTCGCCCAACTTAACAAGAACCGTAACTCTTTCGCCCAACTTAACAAGAACCTTAACTCTTTCGCCCAACTTAACAAGAACCTTAACTCTTTGACCCTACAGCCCTGAATAGCTCAGCATCGGGACGACGCCCTACTCCCCAGGGTCATGAGCTGTGAAAAGCCTTGTGTGCATTAGCACTTATGACGCCAAGCCCCTTTTGTGGACTATTTCACATGTCGCTAGCAGGTACAGCGTATAGCGGAAGTCGTCTCTATGCCGCATTGGCTGTTGGGTAGCTACACGGAGTGAGAAAAAGGCTATACGGAGTGACAAAGAGGCTACACGGAGTGAGAAAAAGGCTATACGGAGTGAGAATAAGGCTACACGGAGTGACAAAAAGGCTACACGGATTGACAAAGAGGCTACACGGAGTGACAAAAAGGCTATACGGAGTGAGAAAAAGGCTACACGGAGTGACAAAGAGGCTACACGGAGTGACAAAGAGGCTACACGGAGTGACAAAGAGGCTACACGGAGTGACAAAAAGGCTATACGGAGTGAGAAAAAGGCTACACGGAGTGACAAAGAGGCTACACGGAGTGAGAAAAAAGGTACACGGAGTGAGAAAAAGGCTACACGGAGTGACAAAAAGGCTACACGGAGTGAGAAAAAGGCTACACGGAGTGACAAAGAGGCTACACGGAGTGAGAAAAAGGCTACACGGAGTGACAAAGAGGCTACGCCGCGCTTGTGTGTTGGACCGGACGTTCAATCGTGCCGTGTGTGCTGGTGGTTCAATTCACTGTGTACCGCTGCACGGTGGTGTATTGATCACGTGGTATGACGTTTACACGTTGGACATGAGATCCAATCTTTTCTATACGTACCCCCCCCCCCCCCCACCCTAAACACCCCTCAAGTTGTCAAAGTCAACGTGACCTTAACACCCCTCAAGTTTTCAAAGTCAACGTGACCTTAACACCCCTCAAGTTGTCAAAGTCAACGTGACCTTAACACCCCTCAAGTTGTCAAAGTCAACGTGACCTTAACACCCCTCAAGTTGTCAAAGTCAACGTGACCTTAACGCGGTGGAAAAACCGAATTGAAGTTCACACATGCAGTCCCAACCACACAATAGCAATCCATTAACGGGTAAAATAAATCATACACAAGCAGACGTTGCACGAGTGGAAAAGAAATCCCCCCCCCCCCCAAAGTTGACTTTGTAATAGGGTAAAACTCAGGTAAACCCCAGTCCCCCCCCCTACCCCCACCCTAAAAATCAATCAAAACAAAGCAAAACAAACAAAAAAGCCACTTGCTAGAAGGTTCTAAAACTGTTTTCAACCAACGTATGAAGACACATTACAAGACTGGTGATATAAACGCCTTTCTAATCTCATAAAACAGCTGTCTTCCATTTGATACTAAATTAAAAATTGTATGCATCATTCGTTTTTTTATGTCAAGTATGTTTTTAGCTTCACTCTGGTGTTTTTCAAATGTTAAAGGTTCACAAAATAAAGGTACACAAAATAAAGGTACACAAAATAAAGGTACACAAAATAAAGGTACACAAAATAAAGGTACATAAAATAAAGGTACACAAAATAAAGGTACACAAAATAAAGGTACACAAAATAAAGGTACACAAAATAAAGGTACACAAAATAAAGGTACACAAAATAAAGGTACACAAAATAAAGGTACACAAAATAAAGGTACACAAAATAAAATACTTTGAGCTCCACTCAGCAATTTTAAACAACTTTTTTATTTTTTTCAGGGAAAGTTTCATCGGAAAAATCAGCGGACGGCACAGAAGTAAATATATTTGATATTTTTAAATATATTTGATATTTTTAAATATATTTGATATTTTAAAATATATTTGATATTTTAAAATATATTTGATATTTTAAAATATATTTGATATTTTAAAATATATTTGATATTTTAAAATATATTTGATATTTTAAAATATATTTGATATTTTAAAATATATTTGATATTTTAAAATATATTTGATATTTTAAAATATATTTGATATTTTAAAATATATTTGATATTTTAAAATATATTTGATATTTTAAAATACATTTGATATTTTAAAATACATTTGATATTTAAAAATACATTTGATATTTAAAAATACATTTGATATTTAAAATACATTTGATATTTTAAAATATTTTTGATATTTTAAAATATATTTGATATTTTAAAATATATTTGATATTTTAAAATATATTTGATATTTTAAAATATATTTGATATTTTAAAATATATTTGATATTTTAAAATATATTTGATATTTTAAAATACATTTGATATTTTAAAATACATTTGATATTTAAAATACATTTGATATTTTAAAATATTTTTGATATTTTAAAATATATTTGATATTTTAAAATATATTTGATATTTTAAAATATATTTGATATTTTTAAATATAATTCATATTTTCAAATATAGTTCGTATTTTTAAATATAGTTCATATCTTTTAAAAACTAAATATTTTAATATAAAACTATACGTACATGTTAGTTGTAGCATGATTATGTTCAATTTAATAATGTATTTTATTTTAAGTGTTTTTGATCTTTTGTGTAGTATCGAATCTTTAAAAAGTTAAATTTAATGTAGAATTAATAAATCAAGTCACTTTTGAACTAAATTTGCTAACAGTTAAAAAAAAAAACATCGTTTGGTTTTGTTATCATCGTAAACCAAAGTTTCAACCATAAGCCTTAAAGAACTCCCAGCTAAGCTAAGCTTTGAGTTAAATCCGTCCCAAAACCTAACACATTGTTTCTTCTCTCTGGTAAAATCCAGAGCACTGTGAACGTAAAAAGCTTCCAAGAACAGCAACCCAGTCAAAACCCGTCACAAGCAAGCGATTCTCAAGGAAACACAAAAGTAAATATGTTAATGTTAGAAGTAGTTCTTAAGGAAACACAAAAGTAAATAAGTTAATGTTAGAAGTAGTTCTTAAGGAAACAAAAGTAAATAAGTTAATGTTAGAAGTAGTTCTTAAGGAAATACACAAGTAAATAAGTTAATGTTAGAAGTAGTAAACAAACATTCTAGCCAAACTCTCAAGGAAATTCACAAGTAAATAAGTTAATGTTAGAAGTAGTTCTTAAGGAAATATACAAGTAAATAAGTTAATGATAGAAGTAGTTCTTAAGGAAACAAAAGTAAATCCTAATATATAATTCCCCATGTGCGCACTTCTCTCTCTCTCTCTCTCTCTCTCTGTCTGTCCGCAAAATATTTTCGCCGGACATCACGTCAGAAACGGCAGCGATATATGGAGAACTTTATACGGACTTTAGTTGAAAATAATATGTTAGATGTTTTAAATGTATAACCACAATTTTATTTAAAGAAGAAAAATAAAAATTAAAGGCGTATTCGAATGTAGAGAAACAGTATTATTTATGCAACCGGAAAAGCATTAATAGATGTGAAAAAGAACGCAAAAAACTGTGAAGTCACTATTGCTTTCTACAATAACTAATGACGTCATCTGCCGTGTTTAGAATAAAAAGAAATGAACTATTTCATTCAAATTTGATTTAGATCTACGTACACTATGAAATGTATACAATACAATTTTTCCGGCTTAACTCATACAATTTATTTTATTTATTTGGATTCTAGATCTAGATATTCTAGATTCATCTATTCAAATAATACATTTCTATACTAAAGTATTTCAGGCCTTAATTACTTTATTGAAATCTTTGTTTATCTATGCCATTTGCTAATCTCTATAATATATAATGCAAAGTTGTCGGGTGCCCGATAGGGCACTTCCCGGCGCCGCAGGCGCTTCAAATTTGGCAGGATCTTGCCTTGGGGCGACAGAACACGGGGGCCGGTTGGCCGAAAAGTCTACGATGATGGGGTCGAAACTGACATCGACTGACCGGCGCCTTATATGAGCTATAAATCGAAAAAAAATGTCCACGGAGGAACCTCTTCATAACTCCTGAGGTCGCAGACCGACCCTCGGGCGAATTAATTAACCATTCAAATTCTCAATGTTTTCGAAAGCCTAAGCAAAGCTGGGCAGCATGCCTAGTAAGTTAATATTAGAAGTAGGAAACAAACATTCTAGCCAAACTCTCAAGGAAATACACAAGTAAATAACTTAATTTTAGCGAAATTTGGCCAACTTAATCGTATCTCATTTCCTGAATGAATATTTACGATGGTGAATATAGTTCCTACTTTGTTTTATTACCGAGAAGTAATACTTATACTGTTAAAAAATTCCAAGTTAACAAAAATACACAGAATACGTTTTGTTAATTGTGTTTACGGAACCGAATCTATCCATTACCAAAACCTTACCCTTTAATCATAAAAATGCCCATATTATTATATCATAAAAATGCCCATATTATTATATCATGCCCTGATTTTAAATTTCTCAGACTTCAGCCACCGCTGAAGACAAAGATGCCCCGTCCCTCACCATCGTTACGATGTTCCTTACCCTGGGGACGCTCCAGAAAGGGTACGGTGGCCTGTACAACACCCACGACAAGTACAAGCAGTGGATGGCCACGTGGGCTTGGCTGACCAATCACGTGATCATCTTTGTGGACGACGAAGACACGTTGGAGTATTTCAAGTAGGAGTTATCAAATTTAATACTTTTATGCTCATCACACAGATATTAAGACTAACGGAGCAAAACACGCAGAATTTTCTGGAACACAAACACGCAGTGATTACGTTCCTACTTTAACACTTTTGAAAATGCGGATAGTTAAACAAAAATAATTAATTACTTGGGCGGATACCAACATTTTATACAAGAAAATAGAATATACTTTTTAAAGATTTTTTTTGTTTGTTTTTATCTAAATTTAACATAAACTGTTGTATAAACGCGAAACCCTATTTTTGACTTCATACACCCACTTAAAATTTTGAGATCCAAAGAAACATAGCACTAAGGGAAGTAATCAAACCATGTATTATTTACAATGATTGCGTCCCATGTCGGATGTTAGTTCAGATCCTTGTGTAAACGGAAGAAACGTCTGAGCTTACACAGTGACTAGAAGGAGAACAAATGTTTAGATAAGTTAGTGGAGAGCATATCATTTCACATGGTAGCACATCGATTTACACCGTTTTAAATACATTCACACCATTTCGCAAACTATCATTTATTTACATTTCGCATCGTTTCTCTCCATTTAATATTCATTTAAATCAATTCACAATTCTTGTTTGACTTGTGTTTGATACAGGGGCGTAGCGAGGGGGGGGGGGGGGGCGGACCGCACCGGGTGACACCATTTAGGGGGGTGACACCAAGGCAAAAAAGAGCAAAATATATAGAGAAAAACTTGAGCGGGGTGGGGGTGCAAATCGAAAGTTTGAGGGGGGGGGGGTGCAAATCGAAAACTTGAGGTGGGGAGTGCAAATCGAAAGTTTGAGGGGGGGGGGGGGTTGCAAATCGAAAACTTGAAAGTTTGTCCCCGGGAAGGGTCGCTACGCCTCTGGGTGGTGACACCATTAAGTGCCGCACCGGGTGACACCCGATCTCGCTACGCCACTGGTTTGATACTTATATGACTGACGAATTTATAGTTGCGATTTTCTTACCAGCTCATTTCTTCAGTCTTTTGTAGAAGTTTTCTCTAACACCATCGGTAGATGAAGTAAAGTTTATCTGTTTCTTTGGCTTCGCATTTAAAATAATAATTTTGGCTAGCACTGAATTGGTATTAATATTCCCCAACTTGAGTCTGATACTTAATAGAGCTGAGTGGACTCAGTGACCTTACAGAATTCACACCGGAACCTCCGTCTGGTTCAAGTTGTTGGTAAACAAATGTGTGTTTCGTTATGTTAATATGTCATATACGTCATCTTCTTTCTTCCAGAAAAATCCGAACCCAGCAGCCCGCCCACAGGACTGTGATTGTAAAAATAGACAGGTCACACCTCGACGCCTTCAAGAACCTGGAGAGGATCAAACAAATCTACAGCAACAGCTCATACCCCAAACATCCACCCAACACCATCAACGCCAACTACAGCTGCACCATGAGTGCTAAGTATGACGTCATGACCATGGCACTGGACATGGGACTGGTCAAGACAAAATATCTGGCATGGATGGACATTGGTCTGTTTAGGTATGGACATTGGTCTGTTTAGGACATTGGTCTGTTTAGGTATGGACATTGGTCTGTTTAGGACATTGGTCTGTTTAGGTATGGACATTGGTCTGTTTAGGTATGGACATTGGTCTGTTTAGGTATGGACATTGGTCTGTTTAGGTATGGACATTGGTCTGTTTAGGACATTGGTCTGTTTAGGTTTGGACATTGGTCTGTTTAGGTATGGACATTGGTCTGTTTAGGTATGGACATTGGTCTGTTTAGGTATGGACATTGGTCAGTTTAGGTATGAACATTGGTCTGTTTAGGTATGGGCATTGGTCTGTTTAGGTATGGACATTGGTCTGTTTAGGTATGGACATTGGTCTGTTTAGGTGTGGACATTGGTCTGTTTAGGTATGGACATTGGTCTGTTTAGGTATGGACATTGGTCTGTTTAGGTATGGACATTGGTCTGTTTAGGTATGGACATTGGTCTGTTTAGGTATGGACATTGGTCTGTTTAGGTATGGACATTGGTCTGTTTAGGTATGGACATTGGTCTGTTTAGGCATGGACATTGGTCTGTTTAGGTATGGACATTGGTCTGTTTAGGTATGGACATTGGTCTGTTTAGGTATGGACATTGGTCTGTTTAGGTATGGACATTGGTCTGTTTAGGTATGGACATTGGTCTGTTTAGGTATGGACATTGGTCTGTTTAGGTATGGACATTGGTCTGTTTAGGTATGGGCATTGGTCTGTTTAGGTATGGACATTGGTCTGTTTAGGTATGGACATTGGTTTGTTTAGGTATGGACATTGGTCTGTTCAGGTATGGACATTGGTCTGTTTAGGTATGGACATTGGTCTGTTTAGGTATGGACATTGGTCTGTTTAGGTATGGACATTGGTCTGTTTAGGTATGGACATTGGTCTGTTTAGGTATGGACATTGGTCTGTTTAGGACATTGGTCTGTTTAGGTATGGACATTGGTCTGTTTAAGTATGGACATTGGTCTGTTTAGGTATGGACATTGGTCTGTTTAGGTATGGACATTGGTCTGTTTAGGTATGGATATTGGTCTGTTTATTTATTTTGTATACAGATATGTAATACAACTAAATAAATATAAGGTTGGATGTTTCAAAAATTATTCTGGCTTTTATCTTACACAATTCTGAACCCCTTAAATCACCAGGAATCTTCTGGAAGAGAGGCTGAAACCAAAGAACAACAGCTTCACCATGGAGGTACCTGCAGACTTCAACAGCAGTCGAGTGGGGTTTACACAGGTGTCGTCAAGACAAGCCATGGAGAGGCTCAGCCCGTGGGAGTACATCAGAGATAATCATGTCTGGGTGGCAGGGGGTCACGTGATGGGAACTCACGAGGTTAGACAAAACCTCACTATAATAAACAAATAACTTAATATTTTATATTATATTTTTTTTCATAAAAAAAACGTTTTAATAACGAGCTTTTATGTAACAATGCACCAAAAAGTAGAAAAAAAATTATACATTACTATTTCAATAACTATAAAATAAAACGTGGGTCACTTTAGTATCTATTGGATACCTTTACTAATATTTAGGAAGAGACCACGCTTTTCTTTATAGTTATTAAAATAGTAGTGTATAATTTATTTTCTACTTTTTAGAGTATTATTACATAAAATCTTGTTATTAAAACATTTTTTATGAATTTTTTTATAAGTACTTTAAATGTTTTCAATTTACAATAGAGTTGCATGATTAAAAACCATTGCGCACCTAATGAACGTGATGACGCGTATATAATAGTGCGAAATAGTTTGATGAGACAGCCTACTAATTCGGACACAATTTTGATTAAAAAAATTAATCAGGGAACCAATTAAGTCAAATTTAATGTCATGTTGCATTGTCTTTATGCCCTGATCCACGTACCAACTACGAACCGTATCTGTCAGAAGTGCCCATAATTTCGCTCGGGCGTTTCGATCTAGACTGTCGACTGACGACAGACGGTGATTTAAATAAAAGATTGTAATAATACATGTCAAACAACGTCAATAGAACTCTCTAACCCACCCTCCATAGAACACGTTGACCAAACCTCTGTACAACAATTTATTGACCAAAATGTTTTGAACCTTTGACTAACCCACATCACCTATTCCCCAGGTCATCCGCACGTTCATCACGTCGTACAAATATGTATCCCAGGAGCTGATCAAGGCCGGCATGTCCAGCACTGACCAGCAGGTGATTGGAGCCATGTACTCACCTCAGTTCCGGCACCTGCAGAAGGTGGACATACAGGGGTACTCGTGTGTGGACGGACAGTTTGGTCTACACGGCTCAGACGTGCAGTACTTTTGTTTGAGTTATATATGCAAGGAGGCGGGGGAGAAGGCTAAAAATAGAACTTCCGCTTTGTAAAAGAGATAAAACTGGAGAGTCCGTCCTTTAAAGAATATTGATAAAGATGAAAACATATCAAATCCGCTGTTACTTTAACATCAACTGTGATAATATTTCTCTAACTGCTGAAAAGTCTTGTATTTTTTCTATAGAAGATTCAAACTTTTTAAGTTGCACTAGTATCTTTGTTTCGATTTGAATTTGACACGATACGATTTGTTGATACTGCTTTTGTGAATTATATTTTGCGATATTATGCAAATGGCCAGGATAATATTTTGAAATTTGAACTCAAATTTCGGCGAAGTTTCATCATTTCCACGTCATTTCGCGATGACGCTGTATTATGTTGCTTTAACAGAGTTGTTAACGTTTCGCAGTATGATAATTCACCTCCTTTTTTAAAAAGGTTAATAACTTCTTTATATGCTTAAGATTAAGCTATGCGGAACAAATATAATGTGAGTTCTATAGACTGATAAAACCATTCCGTTATTTTGGGTGAGAATGCGGAAATAGAAGCATATATTTGGATTTTAGGGGTGGGGGGTCTAATCCTCCACATTTGTACGAAAATCCGCCCGCTTATACAAATATGCACAAAGAAATAGAACAAGCACAGCGTTTTATATAACATATGCACGTTACAAATATGCAAATAATATCTGAAACTATTGTAATCCAAACGGTTTTTTTTTTCAAAATATTTATATATAAACTTGATATTGCCTTTAAAATATTCGCTTGTTTACTGTAGCACCTGCTTTTATAGCTCACCAAAGATATAAGTGTTTACGACATTTTGTCTAGATCGCGTGCACCAGTTATTAATGTATGCTTTGAGATTTACGTTTATAATATATATATATATACATACATATATATATATATATATATATATATATATATATATATATATACATATATATATATATATATATATATACATATATATATATATATAATTATATATATATATATATATATAATTATATATATATATATATATATATATATATATATATATATATATATATATCAGCGTGTTTGTTATTAAGAATATTTAATTTATGCATATTTATTTGATACATTTGTTTTGGCATTTTAATTTGAGTAACTAAGTAATTGCTACTTATACTTTTTTGTTAAAAAGTACACACTAATCGTTACCCCAAAACATTCGATTGTTTAAAGCCGTGTGCCAAATTTACGGTTTCTTCCCTTACAAAACAAAATGACTTGAACTTGAGAATGGTTTGTTTAACAGGGGAGACAACAATAAAGGAAGAAAAATATAGTAGTTGTCTAACTTTTGAATGAGGACCATGGATACTACTTTTTAAAATGAATCCGAATCTAAATGTTATAGAAAAATTTAAAAGTCGTCCAACGACCTGGAAAAGATTTTGTCCGGGTTAGGCCAGGTTGCGTGTGTGTGCGTGTGTGTGCTTGTGGTGCGTGTACGTGCGTGTGTGTGTGTGTGTGTGAGTGCGCGCGCGTGCGTGCGTGCGTGTTGGTGAGAGAAACACAACTATCACCTAAAAGAGATTTCAGCAGCTTTGAAGTTCAATATTTAAAAAACTTAACTGATTTGCGAATAGAGTGTTGTTTTTGCTGCCTTTTTAATATGCAATTTATTTTTTAATATACAATTTATTTTTACAATTATAACTGTGTTATAAATTTTAAAATAATAAAATATATGCTCTGCCTTTGTTCGGCTTTTTGAAATATTGAAATTTTAATTTTTTAAATATTGAGATTTAAAAAAAATGATAAATGGTTTTTTTTTAATGTTGTTATGGAAGAAATTGCATGGTGGAATAGCAAAGAACTCGATTACTGATACTTAGATCTAGAGTTCGTGTCGAGTGGTCAAGCCGATGAGTCCACCCAGCACTAATGGGTACCTGAACATATCTAGACTCAGTGATGCCCACGCTTTCTTTACATATACCATGGTTAGTGAAACATAAACTCTACTTCCTCTGTCCTACGAACAACCTGATGTGTATCTGCTCCGTAACTAACCAAAAAGTATGTTCACACACCTAATGTTACAGCTAGTTAAGACAGAGACACACAGGGATTGGGGGGGGGGGAGGAGGACACATTCATATCCTGACACCCCGACCTAGTGACGCCTTTACTTCTTGGGTATTAGCGTAGGGCGGGGGGTGGGGGAATGGAATCACTTTCTCAACAGGTCTATGGCTTCCGTGTAAAAAAAAACGTTTTCAAAATTAAATAAAAAGAATGAAGATCAGAAATACATTCAGAAACGAAAAACGAAAGCTCGTATCGACAACCTTAGTGTCGCTAAACAACTCAGTTCAAAACGAGGACACAGAAAACTCAACGACAAAGTAGCTAACACAAAGCTAACACAAAGCTAACACAAAGCGACTTTAGCACAAAACTGTCAAGAAAAGGTTTTATTTTTCATCGTCTGCTGATAGGAACACGGAAACACGTGGAAGTCACGTTCTGACTTGTGAGGCCAAGTCACTTTCTCAGTCAGACAAGGGGAGAGGACTGGTGGTAAACTTATACGTGATGCTCAACACAATGCTGGGTTTACCTGAGGTCTTTCTGGGTAGTCACAGGTGGGAAACACGCACATTTAGAGCTTCAGCACGCTCTGTCTACACCATCAACTTGTTATATCTACACACAAACAACACGCTATATCTACACACAAACAACACGCTATATCTACACACAAACAACATAATATATCTACACACCATCAACACGCTGTATCTACACACCATCAACACGTTATACCTACACAACATCAACATATTACATCTACACAGCATCAACACGCTATATGCACACACCATCAACACGTTATACCTACACACCACAACACGCAATATCTACACACCATCAACACGCTATATCCACACACCATCAACACGCTATATCTACACACAAACAACACGTTATATCTACACACAAACAACACGCTATATCTACACACAAACAACACGCTATATCTACACACCATCAACACGCAATATCTACACACAAACAACACGCTATATCTACACACAAACAACACGCTATATCTACACACCAAAAACAAACTGTATGAAGAATGTATTGTTACTTGCAGATTGAGCTTTGAATGCCAATTGTAAGACTTTGTTAGTTAGTACGTGGGAAACGTTGAGTTGAACTATGTATGGTCAAACGATGGAAAGGTTGGTGAAACTCATATGTTTTACAGTAACGTGATAGAATTTTGAAAAGTTTACGGCCTAGCAGCTTAACACCATAGACCTTAGAAATATATAGGCTCTGTATACATTAGTCAAATAAATTAAATATGCATACAATAGGCCTGTAATTGGCATAAGCATGCAATAAACCTACAAATGATGCATGTATACAACTAGCCGATAAATGATGTATACATAATATTAGCTTATAAATTGATACACAATATATTTTTATACAGTAGAAATTAGAAAAGTAGAAAAAAAAAATTATTTTAACACACGGACTTATAGCTTTTTTCCTCGTTTTCTTTCCGAGAAAGTGTATTTACTTAATTTTTGAATTCATACAGAAAAAAAAAATTGATATATATTTGTTAAGTTAGGCGTAAGTATTAAAAAAAAATTGAAAAGAACGTGAACTCCTGTGGATATTGTAAAACAAAGATTTTCTCGGTTTTTTCCCTTACTGAAAACACAACCTTTAAAGGGGGATAACTTTAATTTTAATGTCGACCGAGGTTTTGGATTAACATGATCTATGTCATTAGCTTTTGATGAAACCCGTTAATTAATACACGTGACCTGATTAATCTACTGCTTAATCCAATCACATCATCTGTCTTGGGACAGATGAAGTAGAGTTCACCTGTTTTAATTGTGTCGTCAGCATAATGCCCAGTCACCGTTGTTTCCTTAACTTGAGTCAGGTACCCATCAGAGCTGGGTGAGCTCAGGGACGTCAAGCAGATCCGAACTTAAGACTTACAGTTTAGCAGGCGTTAGCTCTACCATTCGACCACGCCTTACCCTATCCCAACATAAACCAAGACACAAACCCTTCCATTCCCCCCCCCCCAAACCCTAACTTAACGGCATAAAAACGACCCCCCCACCCCAAACTACACCATAAAGGCATAAAAACTACCCCCCCCCCCCAATCTAATCTGACAAATTACTCTGTGGAAACTGCAATACACATAGCGTTGGTATACAACAATTCCAGAGAATAACAAAGACTTGGCTAAGGAGGTAGTTCAACGCTTTCTACGCTTTCACATTCATTACGACTTTTAGATCACATTCATTAAACTTTTTTATTACACATTACACATTTTCTATCACATTTGTTAAAACTTTTTTTTCAGTACATTCATTAAAACTTTTTTTTTTATCACATTCATTAAACCTTTTTTTTATCACATTCATTAAACTTTTTTTTATCACATTCATTAAACCTTTTTTTTTATCACAATAATTAAACCTTTTATCACACATTACAAATTTTCTATCGCATTTATGAAAGCGTTTTTGACACAATTTTCAGAACGCTTCTGTCACATTTATTAAAACATGTTCTGTCATATCAATACAACTTTTCCATCCTATTAATAAAAAATACTCTCAAATTAAATACGACGTCTTTACCCCAATCATCCAAAGACTTCTGTCACCTAGAATAAAACATTTCAATCACATTCATCAAAACATTGCAAACAAATCAACGAACACGATAGCCAAGCCACACAGCTTCTATAAGGTATTCTCACTTTTCATTGTCACCAATTCATTACAAATTCCTGGCACAACTACCAGCGTAGAGCGGATGAAAAGATATTGACAACACTGGCATTAAGAGGGTGTTTACCCTGTCCGCTGACCTGAATATGGTTATAAGAGGCATCTGCCTTATTCACCTGGGCTAATGGATCCTTTCCATAGTAATGGTACCGTCTCTGTGACCTATTGACCTAGTTTTTTGTGAACTAAAATCGAGATCTGGTATTGTAATAAAACAACAATTGTACTGCACGTGTTCACCAAATGTATCAATTTGTGCCCAGACCGGACGAAAACGGACAAAAGCCGTAGAAATCAAATATATTATTACATTTTCTGAGCAATATCCACACAATCGGTACGATAAATCGCGGATTTGACGTTTTATTTCAGGATACGGACAATTTATTCATGGAATTAAAAAATTACCAACGTTGCGAAAATAAAATAAAAATGACAGTTAAAGGCAGTAATATTGGACTAAATAGGTGTAGTCGTTAGATTTTTTTTTTAAAATTAAATCGGCGTATTAATACATTTAAAGCTTTTCTTTAACAATCTGAATACTCCAACCATGAGATACGTGTACGGCTGTATTAGGTTCTGGGTGGAAACCTTTCAGTCGGGCAACATATGGAAAAAGTAGTGATTGTAGTAACATATGGTACAGCATATGGGAAGAGTAGTGACATATTGTACAGCATATGGAAAGAGTAGTGACATATGGTACAACATATGGAAAGAGTAGTGACATATAGTACAGCATATGGAAAGAGTAGTGACATATTGTACAGCATATGGAAAGAGTAGTGACATATAGTACAACATATGGAAAGAGCAGTGACATATGGTACAACACATGGAAAGAGCAGTGACATATGGTACAACACATGGAAAGAATAGTGACATATAGTACAGCATATGGAAACAGTACTGACATATAGTGGAGCGCATGGAAAGAGTAGTGACATATAGTACAACATATGGAAAGAGTAGTGACATATAGTACAGCATATGGAAAGAGTAGTGACATATAGTACAACATATGGAAAGA